ATATAACTTCCTTCTTACAGTACCAGTGTTTTGGAGTTAAAGTCGAAGAAAGTACATTGTCAATAGAGTTGAAGATTGAACGATCAATTCTTGGTTGTTTGCTCAAAATCAACTTCCCCAATTTTCGCGGAGGCATCAATACGACAGTCATCGTCTCATCGGTCGCTGTTCAGAAAGAAGAGTGAAACATCGTCAGAAGTAATACAGAGATTTATTATTGTAATATTTGTTTTCAGACCTTAGTTCGCTTATTCCTTTTATATGTTGGTGTAACAATAAACAAATATCAAGCGGCAGATCGGTGTTTTGGTTTTTTCGTCCGTTATAACTAAGCGTTTCTGAAATCTTCGAAGAACAGCGTGGGCCCGAGCGTAGCGAGAGCTGGGCATTAACGGTTTATGAGACGTGATTGACAGTTTCTGACGATGGAAACAGATCTGGCGGATTCAAACAGTTGGTGAAAGTTTGGATAGTCGCCGTTCATCTTTCCTGGTGCCGGTCAAGTCCTCTTTGAACAAGCAATATCTGGAACTTTTTGGAATTGGGTCAAGTTCAACAATGCCTGGGTCAAAGAAGGGACAGAGTGTCTTGGATGCAAACAGGAAAGTAAGTCATGGTGACTTGTCTGTTAATTGTAACGATGTGTCTGATGTTAAGCATGACATGGTTGATGTTTCGCCGTTCAGGGATAATAGGAACATCAAACTCCCTAAATTTGAACCACGGTGTTTTGATGGAAACCCGGCTGATTATTTACAATTTGTAAAGGAGTTTGAGATCATGTTGAGTGGTTTTTTATTAAATGATGAATTGAAGTTAATGTATTTGATGAGATATTGCACTGGAGATGCTGCAAGAGCTATACAGTGCTGTAAGTTTATGAAGCCAAAAGAGGGCTACTACGAGGCTATGAGCATATTACGTCAAAGGTTTGGAAGACCTTCGATGATTGCAGGGAAATTATTCGAGGCTGTTAAGGGTAATGGTGGTCAATTACAGGATGACTCCCAGGCACTCACTGAGTTTTTAGATAATTTGCTAATTTACAAGAATGGAATGATTTCGATGAATCGAATGAGTGACCTCAACTCGAGTTTTATACTAGAAGTAATAGCAAGACGTCTACCTACTCGACTGCAAAGGAAGTGGGTGAAGATGAGCTCCCGTATGGAGGATGAGGGTATCGAGCCAAAGTTTGATGATATCCTGAAACTGGTAAAAGATAGCGTCAATCAATCTATGAGCAAGTTCGCCAGTCTATTAGATCTCACCCCTAGAATAGAGCAGTCTGAGATCAAAATGCAATCATTGATGACGAGTAGGCCTCAGAGAGGTGGATATCGAGAAGCTCCATGATGTCTAGTAATGCATATAGACCTAGTGAGTGTAACAGGTTTCGTAGTACATCCTCAACAGATAAGTTACAAGATGCAAGACAAACACGGTTTTGTTTTACACGTGTGCAAGAGGTGCATACAGAAGTGAACTGTGAACCGGTGAGCAAGTTCAGTGATAAGCTAAATGTAAACTCCAGGTCTGACTCCGAATTGTGTGACGATAACGGTGTTGTGAAGAAGTCTGTAGTTGCAACTGGTAAGCCATTGTTGAATAGAGTGTCACAGAATAGAGTTACTGCTTCAGAGTGGAGTTCTGACTCCAAAGTTTACAAAGTATAACTAGTCAGAGTGAAGTTATAAAACCTTTAATGATTTGTGAGGAGGAACCAAAATTGTCTACTTCTGTTATTAAAGAGTTTGAAAATGATGAAGTTGACGGTAAAGTGAATATTCGTGATAATGATCATGATACTTCGCAGTTGTCTTTGGTTGATCATGATGAGATGAGGGATATGCCTACTACTGCTAAGTTAAACAAAGGTTCTGTACAACTTGAACGTGAAGTAGAAATAAATGCAGATGCAGTTGCAGAAGGCATGCGTACTTGTGAGACAGTCAGTGTAATTGATCAGAGTGTAGCCCACCTATCATCAGATGCTAGTGCTAAACCTGAGCTGATAGTAAAAGACAGCAGTGGTGGTGGCCTTACAGGTAGACAAACTTCTGAAAGCCGAGAAACAACAGCTTTTGATCCACCGCTAACTTCATCAACTGATATCAATCAGTCGTCGTTGGTGTTGTCATCCACAATGAAAGGGACGCCCATCAACTCAAGTATCTTGTGCAATGACTATGCTAGTATCAGTTCGTTTGAAAGGACGAATGATATTGGTCAGTTTAGTGAGGATAAGCCAAGTGTAAACGAGAGAGTAATTGTTAAATTGACTTGCACGAATAAAGGCATTTCTAGTTTCAAGTTACTATTTGAATGTTATTATCTTTGGTGTAAATTACTCTGTTTCTACACTTGGTTGATGAGATATGTCGTGTGTTTGTTCATCATCTATATTCTACGATACAATGACATGGGCGTGTTGCCGTTCAGATTTGAGGATATAGCTCATAGAAGGAAGTCAGCAAATGAACTCTGCGACGATTTTCCAACCTAGGGCGTCAACCTGAGAAGGGTTGTAGGCGTACTGCTGTAAGTCCTACAATTCTTCAAAGGGTAGCGCATCAATGAGCAGTCCAATGTGCTCGGTGTGTGATTTTGTACATATGTTCATATTGCATATACTGAATTGATATCATCTTTCATCTAGCTGTTGGTAATTCTGTTTGTGTCCGGACGACTTCCACTTGGATCATCAACCTGAGAAGGAATGTAGGCGTACTGCTGTAAGTCCTACAGTTCTTCAAGGGTAGTTTGCCGTGCCAGAATCCACAACATTTGATGTGTTGATTGTACATATGTTTGTGTTAAATAATTGTGTGAGTTCCAATTGATGTAATTGTTGGTTAATCTTGTTTGTGTCCGGACATTCCACAAATTACAATCGTCAACCTGAGAAGGGTTGTAGGCGTACTGGTGTAAGTCCTGCAATTCTTCAAAGGAATTCCACCAAGACATGATCGGCGAGGTTGTTTGTACTATTTGTATATATGCGTGGTGTGTCATATCAATTGGTGTTTTTGGATTCATTGTGTTTACTTGTTGTTTTCGTATCTTGTTGTTATTGCGTAATTTTGTTAAAATTTTCGTCGTGATTACTTCTGAAGTTGTTTCGAGTCTTCTACATCCATGAATGAATTGATTGATGTTAAGGACAGCAGATGGGTCGTATACGCCGGGGAGGCTAGGCTATTGCTGAGAATGAAATGCACACGGAGATAATTGTTAGCTGCGGTCCGACACGCCGGGGAGAAAGAGTGTAAACGACTGAGGCTCGCATGCGTCACCGCTACTAGAACTGAGGCAGAATGAGTGACAAGCGATTTCAGTGGTAATTGGTAGTGAGTAGATAAGAGGATGTGCGTAGAGTATCGTGAGGTGCTGCTATGGTCACTTTGCATTCTGCAAGAGTCATTCTAGTAAGTGGCGATTGTGTTGCAAGATGTCAAGAGGAGGTCTCTGTCTGGAGGCGCAGGTCGTCATTGATGTGTGAGATTGTGCTGTGGGTATGCTTGTGGTGTGTTGGCTTTTCTGTTTGTTTTCCATTTCAGCTCTGTCCGTGTGACCCAGGTTCTCGCAATGGCATCCAAGTCAACGTGCATTGGTCGTGAAGGAAAAAAGGGTTGGATCCCTTTTTTGCCGGGGAGTGTCAATGGAGTTGAAGATTGAACGATCAATTCTTGGTTGTTTGCTCAAAATCAACTTCCCCAATTTTCGCGGAGGCATCAATACGACAGTCATCGTCTCATCGGTCGCTGTTCAGAAAGAAGAGTGAAACATCGTCAGAAGTAATACAGAGATTTATTATTGTAATATTTGTTTTCAGACCTTAGTTCGCTTATTCCTTTTATATGTTGGTGTAACAATAAACAAATATCAAGCGGCAGATCGGTGTTTTGGTTTTTTCGTCCGTTATAACTAAGCGTTTCCGAAATCTTCGAAGAACAGCGTGGGCCCGAGCGTAGCGAGAGCTGGGCATTAACGGTTTATGAGACGTGATTGACATACATCGTATTTATCGGTGCGGAGCATCTTCGTAACAATAGGAGCTTAGGGATAAGTTGCTTGACAGTTTTAATTCGTTTTCTGAAGCGCCTTCCGGGGCAGCTTTTATTCCTCTGCTCGTTTTCTGGAGTGCCTTGTGTAACTTCCAGGATTACTTACTGGGTCCGCAGCCAGCATCTCTTTAGACACGGATTGTTAATGCAGTTTGGATTCTTTGGTGACGTTGGATAATGCCAAGGGCAAGGAAGGGACGTGGCACCATGGAAGCAGACAAAAAAGTAAGTAACGATGAGTTACCATTTAATTGTAATGATATGCACGATGCTCAGCATGATGAGTCTGATGTTCACGCTTCGCCGATTAGGGAAAGTAGTGATTTAAGGTTCCCCAAATTTAGAACTCGGTACCTTGATGGAAACAGAGCCGACTACTCGCAGTTTATCAAGGAGTTTGAAATCATGTTGAGTGGTTTTATTTTAAATGACGAAATGAGGTTAATGTATTTATTGAGGTATTGCACTGGTGTTGATGCAAGAGCCATACAGTGCTGAAAGTTTATGTCTCCGAACAAGGGATATACAGAGGCCATGAGGATACTACGTCAAAGGTTTGGAAAACCATTTATGATATCTGGCAGTATTTTTGAAACCGTGAAAGGTGATGGATCAGAGTTAAACGATAATTCAGAGGAACTTGCAGATTTCTTGGACAGTTAAATGGTACATGGTAATACTCATGCGTTTCTAAATTGCATAAACAAATTAATAATAATAATAATAATGTATATTCTCATATAAACATATAAATTTACATGAAAATGCATGCCACTTTTACAGGCACGATCAAGTATGATATAATATCAAATCGTAGATTGTCTACAAGTTAATACTGTTTCAACAGTTAAATATTTGATATATATATAAATACACATTGTCTGAACTAGGCTGTATAGTTATTGAATTGTACAATTGTCCTCCAGGTTGAGTGGGAAAATCTACTTCGTTCCGTTTTCATCCCGTGGTTGTCGGCATACGATAACCAACCAATATTGAGGTAAGTACAACGTTTACAAGGGATTGAAAGCTGTTTTAGAAAAGTAAAAGTGCTAAGGTGAATCATTAAATTGTAATGAAATAGGTAAGTGCAAGTATCATTAATAAATGCATTAAAAAAAGAAAACTCCCTAGGCTGACAACGTTCATTTGCAATGTATAATGCAACACATATACCTCGTACTATCATGATGTCCAATTTTGGTTTTAATACATTTATCCTCAGTTGTGCCAGTTGTTTTTGTTTTATACCTTTTTGTGCATTTAATGTACAACCGTACCCTTCAGAGAGTAGGAATATAATAAGTCATAAAGAGCTGTAAAATGTTAGGTTTAATGGAATATAATGAGGATCAAGTAAAGACGTTATTGGAAAATAAATGAGATAAGACATTGTGAAGTGGTATTTAAAGATCAGTCAATGGACAGCAAGTTAGTTTATAAGATGCCCCATAAAACTGTGCACATCCCACATGGTCGCATCTCAACAATAGGCTGGGCGAATAGTATATATTTAGAGGTAGAAGCATGATCTGTCAAGGCGTTCATTATTATCTTTTTCAAGATAAAGATCTAAGCCCTCATAAAAATCAGAAATATCTCGAGCCGTCAAATTGCATATTGCTGTTCCTGCAGAATGGGGCGATTCACCTTAGTGACCCCCACCATATCTACTGATCAGCTAACGCCACCCTCCCTCCTTTTTTGATGTTAGGCTCTGAGACTATGATTATTATGGCTACCGCAAATATATTGCTTGGTACCAGACATGTTCCTACCTCATATTCCATCTCCCTAGCTTTCTTAATGAGTGCTTCCAATAGGTCTCCGCCTACATCTTTATGAACATTATATATGTATGCATGCGTCCTAATGAACAGATTACTTTACAAGAAGTTAGAACATTAAAGAATAAAAAGAACAGGTTTTGTGAATAGTGAAGCAAGATTCAGCAGAACAATATAGTTAGGGATCAATATAGGTAGTATGAACTGAAGGTAAGGTCGGTTGGCAGGACTTAGTGTACTAAATTATCATGACAGTCTTGTATATAGTAGATATCTGACATTGCAAAGTAACGTGTCTAAACATATTATAAAAAGATATTAACAGAACCAACAAAATTTCAGCATTTGTTTAACGATACTACAGAAGGGTAGTTAGTACTACAGGTAATCGTAAAGTAAATCAATCTATGTATAATAAGAGCATAGTCAGTGTCATAATTCGTATTATCAAAGAATACATTAGGCTCAATAACTGAGTGTTATAAGGGAAACAAGCATGGTAAAGCAAGAGAACACTTGCCGCATAAGTATTTTAATCATTTTAAGTATTTTAATGACAATCGAATTTCAAGTATTGAACCAACATAATTACTAAGTGTTATTATATTGGTATTGGCACTAGTGTACTTTCCGTAGTTAAATATTGAAAAGCCATTGTCTCTCCACTCTACCAGCAGTTGAGATATTGAGGCGGAGCTTGAGACTGTTGCCAAGAAATTGCCGGTTCCTCTGCAAAGAAAGTTCATAAACAGAAGTTGACGTCTAGAAGAGGATAATTCAGAGCCCGGGTTGGATGATATTGCGAGCCTGGGGAAAGATAGTGTCAATCAAGCTTTGAGCAAGTTTGCTAGTATACAGCATCCCACCTCTAGAACAGAGCAGTCAGAGAGCAAAGCGCAATCATTGATGACGAAAGGGTCTCAGCGAAGCGGATATCGAGAAAGCTCTAGGGTATCTAGAAATCAATACAAACCTAGTGAGTGTAACAGCTTTCGTAGGACGTCCCCAACAGATAGGTTACAAGTTGCGAGACAAACACGATTGTTTTACGCGTTTGCAAGAAGTGCATAAAAAGGCGAACTGTGAATCGGTGAGTAAGTTTAGTGAAAGGCTAAATGTGAAACCAAGGTCTGACTCCGAATTGTGTGACGATAACGGTGAGGTCAAGAAGTCTGTGGTTACAACTGGTAAGCCACTGTTGAATAGAGTGTCATAGACGACACCGCAGTTTGTGCAGGAGAAGAGAGTTACAGTTTCAGAGTCCAGTTCTGACTCCACAAGTTTACAAAGTATTACTATTCAGAGTAAGGGTATAAAACCCTGAAGGATTTGTGAGGAAGAACCCAAATTGTCTACTTCTGTTATTAACTAGTTTGAAAATGATGAAGTCGACGAGATAGATGATGGTTAATTGAATATTTTTGATACTGATCTTGATGGCGCACTTTTATCTTTGGTTGATCATGATGAGATGAGGGGAATTCCTACTACTGCTGAGTTGAACAAAGGTTCTGTACAACTTGAACGTGAAGTAAACTTCAAGGAAGATGCGGTTGCAGAAGGTATGGATACTCATGACACCGTCAGTGTAAATGATCAATGTGTAGTCCACCTATCATCAGATGCTAGTGCTCAACTGGAGCTAATCATAGAAGATAGCAGTGGTGGTAATTTTACAGTTAGACAAACTACTAGAGCCGAAAAACTACAGCTTCTGATGCACTGCTAATTTCGTCAACTTGCGTCACTCATTCATCGTCGGTGTCGTCGTTTACAATAAAAATGACGTCCATGAACTCACGTGTCTTATGCTATGACTATGCTAGTATCAGTCCGTTTGAAAGGACGAATGACAATGGTCAGTTTAGTGAGGATAAGCCAACTGTGTTTGAGAGGGTAATTGTTAAACTGACCTGTACGAATAAAGGCCTTTCTAGTTTCAAACAACTATTTGAATGTTATTTTCTTTGGTGTAAATTACTCTGTGCCTACGCTTGGTTGGTCAGATACGTCCTACGTTTGTTAGTCATCTGCATTCTACGATACAATGACGTAGGCGTGTCACCATTCAAATTTGGGGATATAGATGATAGGAGGAGGTCAGCAAAATGAACTCAACGACGATTTTCCAACCTGGGGCGTCAAACTGAGATTGAATGTAGGCGTACTGCTGTAAGTTCTACAGTTCTTCAAAGGTAGTTCGTCAAGCCAGAATCCACAACATTTGATGTAATGATTGTACATATGTTTGTGTTAAGTAATTGACTGGGTTCCAATTAATGCAATTGTTGGTTAATCTTGTTCGTGTTCGGACATTCTTCAACTTACAATCGTCAACCTGAGAAGGGTTGCAGGCGTGCTGGTGTAAGCCCTGCGATTCTTCAAAGAGATTCCATCAAGAGAGGATCTGTGAGGTTATGTGCACTCTGTGTATATATTTGGTGTGTCATATCAATTGATGTTTTTAGATTCACTGTGTTTACCCGTTGTTTTCGTATCTTGTTGTTATTGCACAATTTTGTTAAAATTTTCGTTGTGCTTACTTCTCACATTGTTTCGAGTAAGCATACATGTGTTAACCAAATTATCTGTCGCTCACTTTAGGGACTTACCAGGGAACAGCATTTGCAACTTAGTGTTTACTGATGGTGTTTTCGACTTAGCCTGCGAGAAATGACCATTGAAACTGAAAGATATGATCGCAGTGTTTGTACTCCTTCTTCTGTTTTAAGTGGTCTAATATGGTGAATAATATTGGGGCTAAGCCTAATGTTAGGTAGAAATGTGATTCCAAACGTTGTTAATGACACAGATACATTCACTCTGTGTAATCTCACATATCTGAGCGATATATGCGTTTTTCCATATGACGGTTCGTTTTTCATCACATTTATGCTCACTAGAGTTCCATTTAATTTCTTTCTTCTCTACTTTTGTGTACTACATTGAATGTGATAACTTAAACGGTTGCACTTGTGTGCAAGTTTCTAAGTTGAAAGTCAGTCTGTCAGAATGATCTATAGTCCAGGTATAATGAAATGCCAAAACATAGATAAAAATAAGAGAATTATAATCGAATCTTTTCACTTGGTTCCTGTCTAACTGAAAAAGAGTTATCTTACAATAATTTCTCCTCATACTCGAGATAACTCTCACACTCTGTCTTCTTATATCTCATGAGCTCGTTTATTTTATATCATGGTCTAAATGAGAAGTCGAAACATATCTGATGAAATATCTCCGCTTATCACCAACTAAATATAATATTTTTCGACTATGGAATGTAATAAATCGAACCGCCGCACCTATGTACTGAGGCATATGTGAAAACTCACTCAGTCAGCATTCGTCACAGCAGCTACCTAGTGTCACAACTCACTACAGTGTTAATTGCCTTAGACAATTTTTAATGCCGTTTCCTAGGTGCTCTAAGCATTTCACAATTCCTTAGATTGTCCAGATAAAGTGCACCAAAGAAGAAGACATAAAATGAAATTCAGTGACACGGACAAAAGAAATGGGGTGAATGGAAGTGAATGAGATCAGTGATTTTTTGTGCCTGCAGTACGCTTAACTAAAATACTCACGTATTTGGATGAAGCAAAAGGTTGTGTGAGTGACGTTGTAAAATCACGAGCAATCATTTGTGCTCGAAATATCATCAGATAACATTGTTGTGCAACATTGTGTGATTTATCAGAATAAAATCTTATACATTATGGAGTTATACTCTACCACGGAGCCCAAGGTTTATACCTATATCAAAAATACTTATCTTATGCGTCATGCGTCTCCTAATTGTTTCATTTTTCTTTTCCTCATTGAAGGTTGTCACTCTCCGTAGACATTCTACTAGATGTCGTCATACACAGTGTGTGCAAGCAGTCTTTCAATACATCCACCTCCGGCAAAGTTGTTGTAACGATGCCTTTAGATCATTTACATTTGGCCGTAATAAAATTAGTATGCTAATATTACTGATGCAATGACATGCCAGACTTGTACATTTTACTGTGAAATTTGCCCGTAATAACATTCCCCCATGGCAAAATAGAATGCTTGCGATAACAATTCATCATTATCTTTTCATTCCGTTGATAGGTGTGTATATATTAGAAAAAATCTAACCTCGCCGTGCTAGTTCTTGAAAATACTTTCTGTAAAAGCCCATACCTCTGCTGAATACCAAGTGCTACTCGTTGCCCATGAAGTA